ATACATACAAATATACGCATACAAAATTCTAATTCACAAAACGCAATATGCCGCACTTAAGTATATAAAGCTATAATTAAATCTGCCGCAAAAAAAAAAAAACAACAAAGTAACATAAATAATAAATAGCAGCAAAGATTAGCCTGCTCCCAATTCGCTGAAATCTCACGTCAGATGCATCATATGTGACGCGCTATAAAATCATAAGTATGTATGCATAAATATTTCAAACGCAAAACGAAAAAAGTGTATACAGACTTATGTATGTTTAGATGTACGCACACTTCCACACGCTTGTTGAACATTTTTATTTTCCTAAGCTTGTTAATGTGTTGGCCAACCACTTGCCGCAAGTCATTCATTCAGAACCCAAATGAGATAAGCCACCGTACGTACGGGCTACTGAAGTGAAAACAAAAAAAATATTTTACGAGTATCAGCATAAATTTGCAAAAGGCACATAAGTACTAAGTACGCACATAATTAGTCAAAGTTTTGTAACAGCGTAACAAAAAGTCAATGATTGCATCTGTGGCAGTAAAAGCTAAGCAGGAATCTGGGGAAATTAGGATTTAATAAGACACAAAAGTTAAACTTTGCTTTTGATGAAAAGAGAGTTTAACCTTTCGTGTCAAAATGATTGATGATTTCGCAATTTTAAAAAAGCAAGTCTGCAACAAAATATGCCATTAAAAGCGTTTGTTAAATAGAAAATCTTTCAAAGAAATTCCAATGAATTTTAAATGAGCTATTTATGCATCGAAATGTGTAACTTTTCTAGAAATTTCGGGCTGTAGTTGCTCCTACGCACCACTAAGCAGTTGCCAGACGGTGATTTTTGCTAGTGACGTATTCAGGCTGAAATGTGGTAGCCCCAATGTTTTTGCAGCGTTATTTTATATGCGATTTCGAAAGCTTTAAATAATGTTGGAATATACATTGAAATAGTTTTGAGTATATTGCATAGATCACGCGAGAAGATACTCCGTTATTTTAATTTTTTCGTTCCAAATTCTTTTTTACACCTTTATCCTTTAGGATCTAACTTGCGTTGGTTTTTAATAGACACGCCTTGATCGCTCTTTCGACCATATTTGATCATCTTCTACGCAATATTTGATCTACAGGTTTCGCGAAATTGTGCAACCATTAATTCAGCAACCATTAAATCAGATCATATTTTGGCAAAATTGGCGAAAAAATTTTGGCTCACACCCTTATATTGGTCTCTAGAAATCTTAAAGGAAAATAACGAATTTAATCGCTTTGAGAAAGGGTGCTTGATATATCTTTTTATCTAGATTTGGCGATTAATATAATTTTTGTGATGAGGCAAAATTAAATAACACCGTGCGACAAAAACCAAAAAAAATTTACACGGACGATTTTTTAAAAAGACTTTGAAATTTCAAAACTATGATAAAATCAAAAAATAATAATATGGGTAGCGAACGGAAGAGAAATGTCTGTAGAAAAATAAAAATGTATTCTTTTGGTGCACAAGGACGAATAAGTATTGAAAATGCCCTTTTAAATATTTTCTCAGGCTAACGAAGTTAGATGGACATAACTCGGGGATGTGGCCAAACATAAATTTGTTTCAATAAAATAAATTTCTACATTTCAAGGATATTCAAGCATAAAATTTTAAAGGCCCTGTTTCAGTACCTATTTGTCCTTATGCACCAAAAAATTTAGTTCTAGAGAATTTTCTCTTTTATATGGTATCCATATTTTTATTCTACATTGCACTTTTAATTTAGTTTTTTAAATAATTTTTTAAATTAATCATATGTGTAATATTTCAAATTCCCGAGTTAGTCATGAAAATTCCGATATAGCCCTGAGGATAACGCGGTGGTCCTAAAAGTTCGGATACAGTTCGAAAAATTTCGAATAAATAAAATAAAATATTCCAAAATCGCCCCGAAAATCCCGAAAATACTTCGCTCTAAAAGCTCTGAAATCCGGAAATAATCCCTAAATCGAGACAATAGCTAATATTTACTATTTAGTCATCCGGTGAATTTTGTGAAGCCAAAATCTTACTTTGGTATACAGTGTTTCTTTATGTTAAACCAACTAAATACTTGGTTATCTGTAATTCACATCAGCCTGCTCCGAAAGCGAATAAACAGGAGTAAGTCATTCTCTGACTAAAAAGGTCCGAAGCCAATCAGCCCAAAGGTCTCAACAGCTGCTCTTTGAATACGATGCGAGAAGGCGGGGTCATTGAGCCTTCAGCCAAAATACATATGTATGTATGTATGTATGTACATTAGGGTGCACCTTATTTGTCAACTTTGACCCACAAAGCAAGACTCCCCTTCAATAGGCTCACTCGGTGATAAAAATGAGCTTTGCGTTAAATTTTTAAAATCGAATAATGGAAATACGTGCCTTAAGAGCCCTAAAGTTGTGCAAACAAAGGCTCCATAACTTTCAAACCTGGCGAGATATGAAAATGGCGTAGCCTTTTATAAGATCAGCGTGCAAAAGTGTGTTGATTGATAAGAAACAAATAAACACGTTTAACTGAATTACAAGCTCTTTTTCCTATTTAGTGAACTAGCGTATGTATCTTTAGGGCTCCTGAGGCACGTTACTTTATCCGATTTTAAAGATTTGTCGCAGATTTCATAACCAAACGTACCTATCTGCATACAAATAAGGTGCACACTAATGTACAAGGGAGTTAGGACTGAACAAGTTATTGTTACACTAATGTTTCAAATATTAAACAAAAATTTTAATTGCACTAATTTTGTAATACTAGTAGTCCCAGATTAATTTATGGAGACATACAAACATATGGCTGTAGATCGATAAACTTTTTCATTTATGATATTTCAAATATTTATTTTTCTTGCATCGCTTGCCAAAAAATATTATTCCTCAAAATAAATAGTATCCATTATAGTCAAATTACTGACTATTTTTGTTTGTGTAGCGTATGTGTGAATTTAAAGCACACGATAGCCGTCAGCTGCCAGCCATCAGGGCTTTGGACAGTGGTTTTAAGCTGGAATTTATATACCACAATTAAATGGATTTTATTTTTAATGGAAGCTGAAAAAATTTAGAAGAAATTTTTCGGGTACGATTTTTTAATTTTCATTTGTTTATGCTAGATTTTTAAGTGCAAAGTGCGAAAAAGTAGCAATTTTAAAGAAACTTAAATATTTTATCCCTATAAATAAATGTTAAATAATAACAAGTAAGAGCAGCGCTGTCTTCGGCTATGCCGAAGGCTTCATACCTTTCATGAACATCTGCAAATTTTACTTTGGCAGATACTGCTTTTGAATACATCTGCATACATCGATAGAGGAGTTACATACTTATATGTATAAAAAATCGCATCTAAACAATCAGAGGTATGGAAGATATACTTTATATGACACCAATCTAAGTGATTTTCACCGCTATGTGATCGGTATGTAAACCGGTAACTCAATTTATTGGGTTTAGTTTCGTACATAAAGGAGATATATGGCAAAAACTGGTATCTTAACAATCAGTGCTATAGGAGATAAAGCTTATACAGCATAGAGTTTGATGATTTTCTCAGTAGAATTTGTATTATTATTTATAAAATATCTTACGAAATTTATCGGTTTTAGCTGTTCAAATAAAGAAGTTTTACAGTAAAATCCCATATCTGAACAATCAGATGTATGGAAGATATATGTTGTAGTCATCCGATCCTTGTTATTTTCACTGTAAGTATTCTGTTAATAATGAGTGAAAATGGTGCGAAATTTCATGTTCCTAGCTGCATAAATGGAGGAGTTATGATAAAAGACCTCATATCTGAACAATCAGTTGTATGGGGGCTGCAGGTTATAGTGACCCGATCTTCGTTATTTTTACTGTAATGCTGCTGATAATTAGTGAAAACAGCGCGAAATTTCATGGTCCTAGCTACATAAATGGATGAATTATAACGAAAAATCTCATATCTGAACAATCAGTTGTATGGGAGCTATAGGTTATAGTTACCCGATCTTTTTAATTTTCACTGTAAGTTTTCTGTTGATAATTATTGAAAACAGTGCAGAATTTCATGTTCCTAGCTATATAAATGGAGGAGTTATAACGAAAAATTTTATATCTGAACAATCAGTTGTATGGGAGCTATAGGTTATAGTGACCCGATCTTTGTAATTTTCACTGTAAGTATTCTGTTGATAATGGGTGCAAGTATTGCCAAATTTCATGTTCGTAGCTGCATAAATGGAGAAGTTATAATGAGAAATCTCATATCTGAACAATCAGTTGTATGGGAGCTATATGTTATAGTGGTCCGATTCTTCCGGTTCCGACAAATGATTAATACATTATAAAAATACACCCACCTACCAAATTTGATGCGGATATCTCGAAAACTGAGAGACTAGATTGCATACAAACAGACGGACAGACGGACAGACGGACATGGCTAACTCAACTCAGCTCGACGTTCTGATCATATAAGTATACATTTTCATGGGTCTATCTCTTTTTGTTCTGGTACTTACAAACATCGGACCAAAGTTATAATACCATTTCATGCTCATGAAAGGTATAAAAACTCGTTGGTAGCAAGTATAGGACTACTCCTATATGAAAAAAATTACACGAATAAAATTTTAAATCAAATTTTTTTATTGAATTTTTATATCAATTAAAGTAGGCAGTTTTTAAGTTTCAAGTGGCTAATAAGTTCCGTTGATCTTCATTAAATTTGTTTTGCCGACAGTTTTTAGTACTGTTTATGTACATATGTAAATATGTATGTATAGGGAAGAAAAAAAATATTTAAAAAGTTTATCAATTTAATGGGCTAATAAATCTAAAAAATTAATCTTAGTGACATTTTTTTATGATATATCAAATTTTACTTTTTCATTTTTCATTCAAAATTTTTACTTTCTCTGCACTTTGAAAATAAAGTCGCTGCATTATTTGAAATATTAAATTCCAGTTTGAAACCACTGTGCATTGTGGGCATGGGTTGGTGGAAAGTAGGTTGCCATTGCCTATTGAATTGCATTTGAATTGTGTTTTATTTTTATTTTTGCAAAACATAAGTCAGAGGGACGCATAAGCCGCGCAAAAAGCGCCAGAATAATTGAATAAGATGAAAAACAACCGAACAAATTACTAAAACAAATGTATTCCGTTCATTTAAAATTTGCTTGCTAAACATTTTTGAGCTAAAATTTGTGGCTTTCAAAATTTTGTGTGCTCATTGCTGTGGCGGACGCTTTGGTGAAAGCATTTATTATATTATTCGTGTATTAGCCGGGAGCTGGTGGGTAAATTTAAAGTGCCTCGTTTGTTACATGCAAAAGAAAATTGCGAATTTTTAAAAGGAATCGGAAGCTGTGCAAAGTTTCTTAATAATAAATGCATACATATGTACATAATTTCAGTTGAAAATTTTTAAATTTTTTCTATGTGCGCCAGAATTATGACGGACTTTGCAAAACATTGCAGTGAATGATGTCTACTGAATTGCTCTAAAATTTTTGCAGGTAACGCCCGACGGTTTAGCGGACAAAGGTGGCATCCGCTTGGGTGACATCATACTGGAAATAAACGAGGAGGACGCCACGGAGTTGACACTTATGCAGGCACACGAGAAAATTGAAACTTCCGGCAAGAAAATCCATTTCCTAGTGAAGAAGTGAGTAGTCGTTTTTTCTGGTAGTTTCATTAAGAAACTTTCAATTTCCATTTCCTGCACTTATAAAAGAAACCAAACATTTTTTTTGGCAGCATGGAGGAGGATCAGGATTTCGAATTGGGCGAGGAAAAGTCGATTGTGCTGCGTGTGCCGAAGCCGGCGCCACCGCCGAGAGGTGAGTGTGAAAATTTAGTTTTCCTACTTTAACCGCAGTAGTTAGTAGTTGGCTATGTAAATGTGGCAGGCATTGAGTTTTTCCATTTTGCTTTTGATTTTTGCATGGCATGCTTCGCTTTGCTTCACACTTATTTCGCACTTTTGCTTGATTTTTTGCCTGAATTTGCATGAATGCATGGAATATTTAATCTGTGTTACGCTGGTTTGCCCTTGCCTTTTTCGCCTAATTTTTGCTTTACTTTCTTTTGCCTTATTCTCACTCACTAACGCGGTCTTCTTGGTTTATCTATTTCGTTTATTTTATTTTTTATTTTTCGTAGAGTTCAACCCAACCCCATTGCTAGGCAGCCGTTTTTGGCATCCCATAATGTGGCACGATCCACCCGAGCCACCAAAACCGAAGAAAAAGAAAACCAAAACCGAAATCGATGAAGAGGGCAATGAAGTTATCATTGAATTGAGTGAAGACGAGTCCTCTGAGGAAGAAGAGGAACAGGTGATTTGCTTAATGCACTTCAGCATTCGATATGATAATGTTTCCTTCCATGTTTTCCTCCTTTCAACCACTAATTGACACTTTGATGGAAGCGCATTCATGAATTATTGACCAGTGGAATTCGATATTTGCGCGGTGATTGAAGAGCTTTTTTCATTAACGAATTTTAAAATAGAAATTGGTCTAGGAAGGGCATAAAGGTTAAGAAGTAATGGTACTAGTAGAATGGGATTCATCACGTTTAGTAAATTAGAAGTTGGGTAATTAAGTAAGTGAGAACATTCTTGAATTTTTTAAAGGGTTTCAGTATTTATTTACTGAAGACATATACACGATATCAATGAACCTACATAAGGTCTTTGGGATAAAAATTAAATTATAAGAGATTTCGGCTGATTAAAAGGAATAGGCCCTTTGTATATTAAAGGGGGTGGGGGGCCGAAAATAAGTCATTAAACTGTAAAGCTATTCTGTTGCTGAGCCCACCTTAACTTTTTCTGAATATGTAACTCTAATGCCTAAGAGGCGAAGAAAAAGTTATGCTAGAAGGTTGTTGTTATAGCGGCTACTAAGCCCCACTAGGTTCGATTCATCCGTCAACGTTGTCGGCTGTTTCAGCTAAGGGGAGGCCCAGGAAGTATGCGACTTCAACAGGGTCTGTCCTTAAGGACAGGGACGTCAGCTGGGTGGGGTTCTCAGGGCATGTGAAGAGGTGCCGAGAGTCATGTGGCGACTCCCCACTGGTTGGGCACATCCTCATTAATTCTGCTCAGGTATGAGTTTAGCCTACTGCAATAGCCAGAGCGAAGTTGGGCTATTGTGGTGCGAGTCTTCCGAGGCAGACAAAGTTCTGTCCCGTCCACGTCAGGTGGTTGTGTGCCTAGAACGGCATTCACAAGGCAAGAGTCTACATAACTCGAGACTGATTCTCCGTGAATGCCGTTCAGGGCTTGTCGGTAGGCTGACGGGTCCAGAGGTTGTTTTATGAACCTCTGGACTTCGTCCGTCAGTTTGTAGAGATGCCTCCTTGGCGAGGGCTCTTCTGCAAGCAGCTGTTTGCTAGGATGACCGCATCTGTGGCTCCCCACAAGGAACTGTTTGCAGAGCATTGTTTTATGCTCCTTAACTGTGAGCATCTGGGCCTCGTCGTGTAGGTGGTGGTGGGGCGCCATCAGGAGGCATCTGGTAGCTGTCCGTGGTGCCGTATTCTGGCAAGTCTGTAGCTTTCTCCACTGCGTCCTGCTAGTCCCAGGCGACCACACGGGCGCTGCATAGTTTAGAACCTGCCGCCCAATTGCCTTGTAGCTTGCCAACAACGTTTCTATATCTTTGCCCTTAAGTGCTGCCGGCCAGCGATTTGAGGACATTGTTGCGGCCCTGGACTTTGTTGACAATTGCGGTTGTATGCGCCGAGAAGGGGCGCAGACTGTCGAAGGTAACTCCGAGGATTTTCGGGTTATTCACCGTCGGCATTGTTACATCATCAACGTGAATACCCAGTTGCAGTCTGACCTTCTACGTCCAGGTGGTGAATAGGGTTGCCGCGAATTTCGCAGGGGATAAGGCAAGGCTCCTTACAGTGAAGAAGCGATAAAGTTCGGCGAGATAACCGTTTACTTTCGAGCACAAGTCATCAATTCCATTCCCAAACGCCATGATCGAACAATCGTCAGTATAAGAGACAATATTGACACCCTCTGGTGGTTGAGGGAGCTTTGAGACATAAGGACACCACCCTGTGGTAATCTCTTTTTAACTTTTCGTAGCTTGCTGGTTTTGTCTCTAAAAATTACTGACGAATGTCGACCACACAGGTAATTCGCTGACCACCTTTTGAGTCCCTGTGGGCGTGAGAAGGCCTCAATGTTTTCTGGCAGCGTTGAATTACTGACAGCGTTCACAAATTTCGCTGGATTCCCTTCTGCTCCGAAACCCAGTAAAGGAGTAACACACACACACACAGCTTGTTTGATTCGTTGCTGTTAGGTTCAACGCCTTCTTAACCACTGCAATTAATTTCTGTGCGTCGAGTTCCTACTCGTACTTATACCAGTTCGTCAATCATCAACTTCTACTATGGCTCTGAGGAACATAGAGAAGATCGGCCAAGGTACCACGTAGTCTGTATAATCTTGGGACCGTATATGCTAGTCTCAAACCACACTAAATCATCGAGTTTCGTTCTAGTGGCCAACGCTATGTTTTTGGTCAGTATGTCTGGTAATGGCTTTCCTGGCATTTCAAATGAGTATACATATGTATATGTGTAGATATTCAAGATATCCATGGACCATCTGCCTGGACCTCCGCAATAGGCGCTGGATGGAAGAAGTTTGTATTGTTTCACCTATTGGGCTTCATGCAGAGAAAGTGAGGTTATGATCAGGAAAAATTTACACACTGATGAAATGAGCTCAAGCTGAACACTTAGTACTAGTAGTCGAGTAAGAGCTTAAACTTACTTTTTGTGCCCATTTTTAGTTGCATAAAACTCCAAGCCTTCTTCAGTTCTTTGCATCCAAAAAGCTACTCAGCATTACTGGCTTCATAAGGGTTACATGAGGATACCAAAAAAACCAAAAATGCAAAATGACTAAGTTTTGAAATAAGCTTCTTTTTACCTCTCTTTAGGCAGCACTATGATCAAGTCGATCAAGTTGAAGAGGAATACCAACTATTGACGGAGGATGAAAATCCCGAATAAATTTGCTCATTGTGGTTGGGCTTAATCCCTAGTAGGTGTTCTCCTTCTTTTGTACTATAGGTTTTAAAGTTCCGTGTAAATTCTTTATTAAAGTGAAGCACACTTAATTAATTTCCTTCAGTATCTGTTAATTTTTCATTGCGTACAAATTCCACTGGAAGCTTCAATAACTAAAGTGTTTAATTATAAATTATTTCTCCTTGATCTTTGGCCTACAGGGCTATTTGATAAATTTCACGTGAAAGTTTTCTTATTACGCTTTAGTGCTTTACTTAAGTGCATTTTTGGCACAAGCGTATCTCAGCCAAAAATCAATATAACTTTTACAAAGCTGTTAAAATGCCATTGGCATTGCAAATAAACAGCTTCGATGCCAACACACAAACCGAACACAATTATCGTAACAGTCACACCAAACCCACCACTAATGCACCTTCCTTTTTACGAGTGTCACACCAATAACTGTAAAATAAAAATTTTCTATCCACCTCCCACGCTGCTACCTATATCTGCTGCCGCCTCAACGAATGCTTTAATGCTTACCGCCGCGTCACGCCACTCACCGCCCGCTCATTCGTGCGAGCGCAGGAATTGCCACACCATCGTATCATACGTAATATACGCCGCTTCTTCGCCGAGGTGGGCGACAATCACGAGTTGAAGGAACGCACCATTGAGGATATGCTGCTGGCGCTGCCCACAGCTTCGCGTTCCACAAAGCCAGCAACGCAACCGAGAGAGGAGCCTAGAGGTCGGCGCCACGCAGCAAATGCCAAGCGAAGAGGAATAAAAGGAGGCCGTGGTCGCAAATCGGCAAAGGATTCCGATGACGAAGACGAGGATGAAGACGAAGATAAATATGTTGATAGTGATGAGGATTAGTGCGGCAAAGGGTGATTAGTCTGTCAAGAAAATGATTGCGTTTTAAAATTTCATTCGCTTTGTATACCATAAAAAGAATAATGTTAATAAATTGATATTTATTTTTGCTGACAAGCAAGGGATTATAACTAATTTGACGATGAAGGAAGGAAATGAATGAGCGGAGTGTAAACTAAGTATAACCTGCTTAGAAATAGCCGATGTTCGTAATAAATATGTATGCTTTATCTCTTAAGGGGAATTTGTTTGTCAAGTTTGCACGAAATTAAGCTGAATGAGTTACAATACTAATAGTTAAAATTGAATTAACACAAACAAATTGCAAGAATAATTTATGTTAATTAAACAGCTTTTTTGAAATATCGAACAATTTAAATTGTTGGCGCGAATTTTAATGCAAAATATGGTTGGTTTCGGTTGGTATAACATAAGGGTATAAATATGACAGAAATCGATAGATAAATTTGAGGATAATTATCGAGTTAGGACGGAGATAACTAAATTTAAATGAATTAAGCAGAAGAAATATATTACTTCAAAGCCCCGCGAATTTCAAGGCCTTTAAAATTTTTTAGAAAAATTCAAGTTGTATTCCAAATATTGTAGGGGCCGGACCGGCTATGAATTTTATAATAAAAAAATCACAGTGTAATCTTTTAAATATGTAGCCATTATTTTTCGATCATATTCGCGTTTGATTAATCTTTTAGAATTTCTATAAGTTTATCATGATTAATTTTAATCTGATTGAACAGTTAATCGTAACCGCGATCAAAAAAAAAAAAATTTTTAATTATTAACATCAAATTGATTAAGTAGGTTTGGTGATATTCAGATTAACATTTTGCCAACACTGATTTCTTTATAATCAGATTAAATTTTTTCGAAAAAAATTTGGTCAAAATTACATATGTACAATGGGAAAACTGATCCATAAAGACTCTAAGTTCCGTTTTTACAGCGACGAGTTAACGGTCATTCGGCAGTTAACTCCGGGTGTTCAGTACAAAAATTGAAAGTTAACTGCCAAATTTGAGTTAAAACCCCACTGTGAAAACGGCACTAAGTAACAATAAGGTAATGATGTATTTTGGAACAAATCTCGGCGTACCTTTACAGGTTTGACTTGCAGGCGAACCGATTTCCGCGTCGCGTTACCTTCAGTGAAATTTTTCCTTCTCCCAACAAAGCGTCAATAGTTTACTACCAAGCAAAATTCGACTAAGAATATTTGTTACAAAATATCTGCATCAATCAAAACAATGATATGTTGTCGCTTTTAAAAATAAATAATCATTTAACCACCTATGTGTAGTTGTTTTTCCGTTGCTTTCCATTATTTAATATTTACCGTTCCGTTTGGTTGCAGTTCCTAGTTATCTAAATTAAAATCTACTATTTTATTTTATCGATGTACTCAACGTTGTACTTATCACTATTCTAATTTCCTGTTCCCCCTAATAATTTTCAAACATCTTCCGCCACTGTAAATAGTAAAATCGGCTGCTTCAATTGAAGCTCGTCTGCGCGAAATGCAGCGAAAATTGTCGGAAATTGCGGAAATACCGAAAATACTCTCCTCCACACTCGCCACCGTTTCGCAAACGTTTGAAATATTAAAGCCCAATGATTTGCAGCAACAACAACTGCTACAGCAGTGCCAACAGCAACGCAAGTATTCTTACGATGAGGATGCACTGGATTACGAGTTAAGTGGCGCCAGCACTGTGGAACGTCTCAAGTTGAAGGCGAAGGGAAAAGCAAAGGCCAACGCTGCCGCTATAACCGCTTTCACACTGAACGAGGTAAGGCTGGAGCACTTGCCAAAGGACGCAACGCCGGAATCGGATTATGCATCGGAAGGCAATTACGAGTCAAATGAGGCAGACACGGATGATGATTATGGGGATGGCGAAGATGGCGACGAAGATGGTGGCGGAGCCGATATTAGCGAAGCAAGTGATGAGGAGTCGGACGGGAAAAGTACTTACACTTTCGCTCTAACCGGAATTGATGTTAGTGACGTTGATGCCGCTGAAACTGCTCAATATTCATATGTAACGCGAATGAGGCCGGCAAAGCTAAAGCAGCAGAAAATGCAGCGAAAGCAACAACAAAATGCGCAATACCAGCGCGGCAATGTCAATGTCAGTGCCGTTATAGGTGTAGGAGTAGGCGGCGCTGCTGATATGTCACGGATGCGGTATGAATCTAAAGATTATGACGAAGATGATGATGACGACGACGAAGGCGAAGGCGAGGAGGATACGGACGACGATGTTGTAACAGCCAGACTTGTTGCCGGTGACTGCGGTGACAGTGATGACGAAACTGCTGAGGATGATTATGATGACAATGACAACGATGGCGCCAACAATCGCAACCGTAACGATGATGACGAGGATGATTTCTTAACCACTACATACACCTGGAATTTGCGCAAAATACCCAAGCTACAGTTGAATGATGAAGAAAAACAATCTTCCGATGAAAGCAATTCAGTCAAGGATCAGATTGATATGGATGACACTGATGAGGAGAAACCAAATAAGAAAGCGCGTTGGTGCCATGCCGACTACGATGACTTGCAACAAGAAAAACATCGCAAGCAATGGGCTGCGGATGAGGTCGGAAAGGAGAAGAAAGTAAGTGTGTACGTGATAATGCGTGTGTGTGTGTATGTGGGAGTATGCGCTGAAGTATGGTGTGTGCTGGTGTATTACGAGTGCTTTGATGAAGAAAATGACGTCGATGTTTTTAAAATTTATGTTGGAAGATTTTTAATCCACCCATCAACAGTTCGGAATTTCTAAGTGAAACTTGGCGTGGAAGGCGTCTTTGTTTTCTATACTGCTAGATTTTTAAATCCTTTGTCAAAATTATGAGCTTCCCAGTGTACATAGCCCTAGTTGTATACTACTAAAAAAAGAAAGAAAATTATAATTTTTTCGTAGAAGCTCGAATGGCATATTTAAAGCCAGCACTTTGTCTAAGCAATTACTATTTGTGGAAGCTCTTATTTGGTACCACAACCATACTTTTTATCTGAGGATCATCTCCCAACGGCATAGCTATGCCACTATAGAGTTCAAACAGGTTTTTCATTACACTTTTTCCGTTTTTGCGCCTTAGAAAATACGGTTATGTTGAGAGATTTATAGGCCTACATCTTAGTTCGTCGCGATAGGAGCCTGCTGCAAGGCGAATTTAACATCTGTTCGGAATAATTTTTTTGGTTCTGTCTTTAGCCCAACCCTTGCGAGGGCTAGAAATTTGCACAAAAAGTGTCCGATGACTCTTTTGAGTACTCGTACACCGCGAAGCTGCGGCAGCACCTATTGAAGCTTAAGCCAATTTTGTAGGACCTGTGCACATCGCCGTAAGTTTGTTATATGTATATTGGCATAGGTCATTCCCTGCTTTAAGTGGGTCATAAAACACCCAGAACTGCCGGGTAATACTATATGATCTCGTTCGGTTCTACCTTTTTCTAAACTTCGAGAGCTAACTTGCGGCAATTTAGTCCTTGATTTCCCTGAGAGAAGCATCGATGCCCACCGCGTGGAACTTATTCAGTGTGGAGCCGGGCCGCGCTAGTTCGTTTTCTACCTCGTTTCCATAAATGTTCCTATGTCCCGGCACTCATAGTTGGGTAATTTCGTATTGATCAGAAGTCGAGGTCAGCTTTCTCATACAGTCATCCAATAGTTTAGATCTAATTGAGGTACAAGAGGTGCCTGATTAGCCGCTTGGCTATCTGGGAAGATGCACTCTTGTGTGTGCATTCATTTTGATGTACCTCTATGCCTCCTTAATTGCAAACCTTTTTTGCCTGGAAAATGCTTTTATAGTCTGGTAGGCCAAAGGATAGCTTTGGGTTATATTGCTCAAAGAAAACTCCTCCAACAACCCCGCTCTACATCTTTCATTAATTCGTATAGACAGCTAAGCCTTCCAAGAACTGGACCTCTCCTTGAGTTCAGTCAGGTCTTCGACATGATATGCAATGCTTTAATGCAATACTTTAATTTTAAGCGGAAATACATTTAGGATGGAACTATGCTCGAACGGTCTTTCCTTACAGAGCCCCAAGGCACGCAATCTGATGGCTATTTTAGCAACTAAGTTTTAGGGGAAAATGCCTATCGGTATTAAACCAAGCAGAACTTCCAAAACAACCTTGGGACAGCATTTGATTGTATCTGTTACGCCAGCGCCCGCTGACCTTTGAATTCCCCTTAGTTTCTTAACTAAGAAATCCTTAGTAAGGGCTAGCCACCAGGTCTGCGCCCCATAAAATAGTATGGGATTGACCAAAGCTGTGTACGTCCTGTGCACAATTCCTGGTTTTATTTTGACTCCTATGTCCTATAAATTTATAACTGTGATATTCATATACATATTTCTAGTTCTCGGAGAAATTGGAGCGTTCCTGGCCCTGGGCTGATCGAGAGAAAATCATTTACAAGTATGTACCTTTGATAAATGCATAATATATAAATTTAGAAATGTGTACTTATATAAGAAAGCAAATACATATATAAATACATTTGTAATTACGAATAAGTACTAGGGCGGATCAAATTATTTCAGCTAGAAATAACGCTACCTACACATATACATATTTTCAAGCATACAATATTTTTGGCCAATTATTTTAAGGTTTAGCTTTGAAATCGCATTATTTCTAGGTGCCAATAGTTCGCTCCGCCCTAATACTTGCATACATATACAAGGTAAAATTTTTATAACAGCATACGTATGTATATACATATGTACATATGTATATGTGTGTATACTTATTTCACTTTATAATCGCCTTCCCGCAAATCAATAAATTTGAACAAATGACAGCCTCACAACCTTGCACTCACTTTGCAGGCAATCAACTTGTCACCTGGTTCGTCGACGACCATTGGGTTTGGTGGAGCAGCGCATCAAATTATTGGCTAAACAGAATCTCAGTGGCAGCTTGGAAAAACAGCTGCATTGAAAATAAATTACTTATTGCCATGCCGCACGCGTGACAGGAAGTTTATTGGCATTGTGGGTGCGAGACCAGCTGCCAAATGTATTGGAAATTAGTTTTGTCGACAGATTGATTTGTCCTCTTCTCCTGCCATTTGAACTGCCATTTATATTGAATTTTCAATTTATTAATAAATTTGTTATGATATCGTTAGTCAGCTATATTAGCGAACATTAAAAATACCTTTTTGAATAGAATTATTTTTGGGACTTGTTTTATTTAACATTTAAGTTAAGTAAAGCGAATTGTCGTCAACAATTTCTTCGGTCAGAAAAAAATCGAAATTAATTTACTTTAAATTTTAATTTCACAAACATACAAAATTCGTTGGAAAAATGGGAACTATCTCATTCAACTGCTGGGGTAAACATTATTGAGCGCAGCCAGTAGATTTTTTCGCGTTCTGTTGATACATTTAATGGACTCAATATTAGTGCTTGCCTCCAAGTAGCACACATTCATCGCGGATTCTTTATATAAATGCATACGATTGTTGATATCATAACAGACTAACTGTAAAACAATAGGGGTATTCTCCAAATCTTGCAAAGCCATTGCACGTAGCACG